CTTAGCTTACAGATATTAGAGAAAGCGTTATCGAGGCGTGATTTCGATGATTCAAAGGAGTCAAGTATGTCGGATCTCTGCACTTCTGGTGTAGTAGACACTGTGATTGTTAATGGAGGAACTTCAAAGGGTAATAAGAAGATGAAGAGAACCAAGCTAGAAGCTACCAACGAATTTGTCAGTGTGAACGATTCTTTTCGCTTTAAATCGCTTGTCTTTGACTTGCAATTTTGTTATTTGTTTAGGAAAGTTTCATGTTTGTGTATAATGCTCTTGGATTTTTCCTCAGTCCATTGTTTCGAAAGGCCAAGATGAGGAGATCATGGTGGAGGATGTAGTAAAAGGTGATGAGGTTGTGAGATCTGCTGAAACAAAACCTGGAGAAACATCCAGCAATATGGTTTTGAAAAAGCTTCTTGTGAGTTGAAACTTATCTACCACTTTTGTTTTTGGGGAATCAAAACCTGTATACATCTCTGTGATGACCATTGTTGGGGGTCTTGTGTTATCAGCGCGGAGCGAGGTACTTTGACCCTCCTGATGCTGGTTGGGTCTCTTGTTATAGTTGTGGGGAGCAAGGTCATATAACTGTCAACTGTCCTACTCCCACCAAGCGTAGGAAGCCTTGCTTTATATGCGGTAGTTTGGAACATGGTGCGAAGCAATGTTCAAAGGTGCGGTCTTTAGCTTACTGGTAGACCTTTTATGTGGCCGCCTCTCTTTCATTCTTCAATCTCATGTACAAGCTCGCAGAATTTTGGTTTTGTGGTTGCCGTGGAAGATTTAGTCTTCCTTATCGCATGAGGTTTTGAGTAATTTTTTCCTTATTTCTTCAGGGACAAGATTGTTATATTTGCAAAAAAGGTGGCCACCGAGCAAAAGATTGTCCGGATAAGTACAAAAGTGGGTCTAAAACAGCAGTATGTTTAAGATGTGGAGACTTTGGACATGACATGATTTTGTGCAAGTATGAGTACTCTCAGTATGATTTGAAGGTAACTTTATTTCCAAAAATTCAGGACTTTGCTTATGTTCTCTTTATTTAACCTTCCGTAATTTTCTTATACTTGTTTAAAATTCAAATCAAGAGAAAACGGTTTACAAACAAAGGAACTGATCATAATGACCATATTGGGGTTTAGTATTTTTTCCAAGGACTTTCTTTAACTTGAGGATATCCCGCATTGGTTTTCAGTTTTCACCTGTCTTTATTTTCGGATTGATTTAGTATAGTTGGATTATGTTGCAGATCAGACAAACGATAATATGCTATCTTGACCTATTTACTTTGACCAGGATATACAATGCTATGTCTGTAAAAGCTTTGGCCATCTGTGTTGTGTCGAACCTGGTAACTCACCGTCGTGGGCTGTTTCTTGCTACAGATGTGGTCAACTGGGTCACATTGGACTGGTAAGTTTTTCAGATTCTGATTTTCAAGTGCTTATGATCGTCGAATTGATCTATTTTCATTTTAATTAAAATAAAGATGCAGAATTCATTATGTGATTAAAACTCTCTCTCTAGGCATGTGGTAGACACTATGAGGAAAGCACCGAAAACAATTCTGCCAGTTTATGTTTTCGGTGTGGGGAAGAAGGGCATTTCTCACGGGAATGCCCGAATTCGTCGAGCATAAGCACTTCACAGGGCAGAGAGTCCCCGAGTATATGCTACAGATGTGATGGAGCAGGACATTTTGCTCGTGAATGCCCAAATTCCTCGGTAGGCTCTCTCTCACCATTTGGTGCTTTGAGCTCTTCACTTCGTTCCTTTCTCTCTCATGAAATGACTCAGTGTTCCCCTTTTTTCTACATTTAGGTTTCTAAAAGGAACCGGGAGACATCTACACCGTCACACAGATCTCGCAAGAAAAATAGAGAAAACTCAGAACACGAGTCTACTCCCCATGAAACCAACTGGATGGCAAAGAAGAAGGATAAAGAAAACTCAGAACAGAATTCTACTCCCCATGAAACCAACGGGAAGACGAAGAAGAAGGATAAAGAAAACTCAGAACAGAATTCTACTCCCCATGAAACCAACGGGAAGGCGAAGAAGAAGGATAAAGAAAACTCAGAACAGACTTCTACCCCCCATGAATCCAACGGGAAGGCAAAGAAGAAGGATAAAGGAAACTTAGAGCAGAAGTCTACTCCCCAGGAATCCAACGG